ACTGTACTCTCACTCATGTTTTACATCTATACTCTACTGTACTCTCACTCATGTTTTACATCTATACTACACTGTACTCTCACGCATGTTTTACATCTATACTACACTGTACTCTCACTCGTTGCCATCGAGTCTATGCCGACTCCTAGCAACCCAATAGGATAGTGCAGAACTGCCCTGCTGTCTTGTATGTTGCTCTCAGGTTGATGACAGTTGTTGTTATTGATTCCCTGCCCAAAGAACTCTTCTTAGTATTTGGTCTTGTTTTCAGAAACCTTAATTTCTCCTTATCTGGAAACACCCATTTATTTTTCAGTTTTAAAGGACAATTTTGCTAGATATAAGATACTTGAATGGTAATTTTTTTTCTTTCAGAAGTCTATATATATCATTCCATTGTCTTATTTGTACAATTTCTGCTGAAAATAATCTGAACTTGATCTTATTGGTTCTTCTAGGTAGGTAACTTTTCTTTTTCCTTAAGCTGTTCTCAGGATTCGTTCTTTGTCCTTATATTGCTGCTAAATGCAAGACCAGCAATTCCAAACCACCAGCTACCACATATGATAAAGATAGGGTTTTCTACTCCTATAGACAGCTACAGTCTCAGACACACACATAAATGGTTCTGTCCTATCCTATAGGGTCACTATGTATTGGCATCAACTCGATGGCACTGAGTGAGTGAATATGGCCAAATTAGACTATGATATGTTGTAATGATTTTCTTTTGAGATCTATCCTGTTTGGGGTTCTTTCAACTGCCTGAATTGTTACTTTCTCCTTTTTTGTGGTGTTAAAGAAGTTTTCTTCCAGCAGTTCTAGGGCTATTTTCTTTTTTTTAATTCTTCCTGTTCTGGAATGACAACAAGGCATAAGTTATTTTTCATGATAGTGTCCCTCATAATTCTTAGACGTCTTTGGATTTTTTTTTCTCTTTTTACTGACTATTCTCATAGGTTGATATTGAAAGATATGTCTTCAAGCTCACTAATTCAGCACTCAATTGCAGTTTCAGCGTGTACTAAACCTGGGCCAGTCTTCTGACATGTTTTAACCAACAGCATGAGGCAGAAAGGACAATGGGCGAGTCCCAACTCTAAGAAGACCTGGTTGCTTCCACTTTTATGATCTTGGAAGCCAGTCACCAAGGGAGAAAAGTCACATGGAAAGGCCCTGTGAAGAAACAACCAGGCACTAGACATCTGTGTCAGCAAGTCATCCCAGTGCACCCACCATCTGACTGTAACAGCGTCTCCAAGCAAGACAGCAGAACAACGGCCCAACTACACCATGTCAACCTACAGAGTCACAAAAACGGAATAAATTATTGTATTAGAGCATCATATTTTGGAATAATCGATTAAGTAGTAATAAATAATGGAAACAAAAATGACTGCCCAAATAATATTTCTAAAAGTGGAATGATAACAATGATCTCCCAGAATTTGGACAGGAAGGTAAAGACAGGACATAGAGATAATGTAAGTGCTACCGGGACTCAACCAGGAAGTCTAAAATCCAAGTAGTAAGTATTTCAAAAAGATGAACACAAAGAAAACAAAAGTTCTTACAGGGAAAAAAATTCCCCCCCAAGGTTTCCCCCCCCCCCAAGGTTTTTAAAGATTAAAGGTTCAAAACTTAGAATGGCTCATTGTATGTTCATTACAATACAATGAAAAATAAGCTAATTATATCACTGTAATAATGCAGAGTGCCAAGAAAAAGACAAAAAGTTCTAAATGCTTTCAGAGAATGTCAGTCACATGTAGATGAATTAAGACTCAGAAGGGCATCAAGATTGAACATTGACATTTCCCAGCAGACAACAGCAGTCCTAGCAATGGTTAAACTGTTTACATGTACTAAGTCATTTAATCCTCATAACTCGCCCCAAATACAAAACCCAAACCAAAGCTCTGGCTACTGCTATCACGGCGACTCAGAGAGTCTATAGGCCAGAGGAGAACTGCCTCTTCAGGGTTCCAAAGCTATCATCTTTCCAGAAACAAACGGACACCTTTTTCTCTCTAGGAAGTGGCTGGTCAGTTCAAAATCAACCTTCCAACAGGCAGAACTTTAACCCTGCGCCATCACAGCTCCTGCTCCCAAGAGAGGTTCTACTCTTTTTGCATTTTGCAAATGGTGGATTAATGCACACAGTAGTTAGGTAATTAGCCCAAGGGCAAAACCATCACAGTCTGGCTCCGAAACCACTCTTGACCATATTGTTTTAGAGCCTAAAACCTAGGATTTTCATTGAGGATGTATACTCGGGAAGAAGGAGAAAGAGTAAGTCAAGAAAGGTATCAGATCCAGGGAACAGTGGATCAACCACAGGAGGGTAAACAACAGGAAAAAAACCTTCAACAGACAACCGGCCCAGAGAATAACCTACAAAGACTGATACAGAAGAACCAAAAACTACCGAGGGTGATGCCATAGGAAAGAAATAGAATATACCTTTTCTAAACTAAGAATAAATATTATAAGACAATGCAAAGCAACAAACTACACAAGAGAAGAAACTTGCGGCTTTTTGTTATGAAGTCCTAATATAAAGAGTGATCATTCCTATGACTAAAAATAATGATGGCTTAGGAGGGGAATGATAATGATATCTTGGGAGGGGAAGTGGGTAGCTAAGTGGGTGGTAGTTCTCAATCCCCATCTACTTTAGTCAAGTCTATACAGTATGCCTAAAACATGAACTCATTTATCAGTCTACCCTGCAGTATTATAGTTAGAAAAAGGGACAAGACTCTTACCAGCCTCAAATTAATGGTTTAGAGTCGAAAGAAGTTCTCAATTTTGACTGCATAACCAAATTACCTAACCACTCACTGCCATTGAGTCAATTCTAACTCACTGAGATAGGATTCTCAAGGCTGTAAATCTTTAAGGGAGCAGACAGCCTCATCTTCCTTCCTTAGAGCAGCTGGTGGGACAGAACCATTAACCTTGGAAGTTGATGTTATTTTTACTTAGAAGTCCAACACTTACCCAACACTATGACCAGGGCTGCTACCAAAAAAGTGGTAAGTAAGTAAATGTGTGTGTACACACACACACACACACACTCTCGCTCACTCACTCCCAGGCCCAACTCATAACAATTACAACATAACCTTTGGAGAACAGGTGGTAAAGTTCCCAAGCGATTCTATTGTGCAGCTATAGAAAACCACTGGTTGAGGGGTGAAGAGTCATCCAAAAGATGACCCTCAACGAGATGGATCCAACAGTGTAGCTGTATCAGTGAGATCAAACATACCAACAATGGCACAGGATCAGGCAATGTTTCCTTCTGGTTGCACTGTGTTTAGGGATGCTAGGAGGGAAAACCAGCACCTAACAATAGCAATAGGAGAATAAAGGCAGTCTTTGTATCCCAACTTTAGATAGAACTAGACTTATCAAGTACTGGCTTAGGTACTGGTGTTCCCTCTTTTCCTTATTCAGATGTACATTAAAGGTCATAAGAGAACAACGATCTAGTATTTAGTAATGCAAAGAAAGAGATTTAACTGCTTTTGGCTCGTCAGCACTTTTGCTTCTGAGAAGGTTGGCCCTATTATTAAGGAGATGGCCTTCTAGGGCCAAGTATTTGAATGAGCAAAGGCAAACAATCAAAAGAGCAGGGAACATTTATGAAAACCATAACTATTCACAACACTACCAAAAAGGTAATCGTAGGAAGGAAGGGCAATTGTTTGTCCATCATGGTAAATACCAGCTAATGACCCCAAAGGTTATTTCCAGTACTTTAGAAAACAACACAAACACAAAACCAACATCAGTCATAATAATAAAAAGAAAAATCATCCTAGCTTTACTTTTGCTTGCAAATGTATTTTAGCTCTTGAACACTGGAGAATTTTTACTTTACCTGACCCGTGGGTAGCGGTTGATCTAGCATCTCAACATCCAGGTGCTTAGGAAGGTTATATAATCTGCAGAGTTCACATATCAACCACTTCAATTGCTGACGAAGCTACAAAACACATTTCAGTAAATGAGCATTATATTAAAGAGCCCTTAGAAGACATGAATAATTCTGAGACTACTGCATTCAATCCAGTAGAAAATGAACGGGTGGGGGTAGGGGTGGGGGGTGTTGCTAACTGCTTGACAGATAAGTAAGTCTTTAAAAAAAGTTAGGCGCTGTGAGGCTAAGAAAGTTACTGTGCCTTGAATGCAGTTGAACTAATACCTAGAGAACAAAAGGCAAAGGGAGTTCCCGGGATGGTGCACAACTCCCGGGGCTAAAACCTTTTCTTTCACACTGAACAACTTCAGACCAGAGCATCTTCCTGTACTTTTCTTGTAGGGCTACAATATTGCAGAACTACAATAAAAATAGTGTTGCTTCACAGGGGCGGCTAGACAGCAAACTAGTCCACAGTCCCAGTCAATACAAGTAGAGGCAAATATTGTCTTGTACACAGAGCCCTGGAATCTAGGAGACTCTAGATTCGGTGTTTAGCTCCCTATGTGTGAGTTGCCCCATCTGTAAAACAAGGCAATTAAAACAACCTCAAAATGGTAAAGACTAAATGAAATCTGTGGGACCACTTAGAACTTAAGTGTTGAACAACACCCCCCTCAAAAAAAATTGTTTATTTATTTATAGCACTACAAAGAGTGACAAATCTCCATTTTTAATTCCAGGTTTGTTTGGTTAGTGTATTACTCTTAGAGCAAAGCAATTCATGTGCACAAATGTGTTTTTCACTGTTTATTGAATTTTTTGTCAATGTAAATTACAACTTAAGAATGGTGAGTACTTAGTAGACTTGAATGGGATTTCATAAAGCGACTTAATGTAATTTGATCAGGAATGTTTACCTGGGTGTCTGTGTCCAAGAGAAAAGAGGGGAACAGAAAGAAGCAGGTTAATGAAGGACTAAGAACACACAGGATTAGAACGGGTTAACATAGCAAAGAACAAGCCTTTTCAACGTGGACAAAGGAGTGAGTAGAAATGAGGAAGGCTGAGCAGTAAGTTAGGATGAAACAAAAATCCTCATGCTTAACTAGAAACAAAGCCCCACTGTGGATTTGTTACCCATCAATAAGCTCTATTTTGTGCTAAGTGCATTCGGAAGATGAGGCAGGCTGACCTGGATGCACACCCGGGACACTAACGTCTGCACAGGAGAAGCTACAGGGAGTGCTGTGGGAGTCACACAAGTAACAAGGAAACACAATATAGCACATTTTCCAGGAATCTCAATTTTAGGCCATTGTTATTTTTAAGAAAGTGAGGCTGGGAGGGAACAACTACAATTGTGGGAAAGGATTTAAGAAGTATTTAGAAGGAAGATGGTCAGATGGTTCTTAGAAACCTATTAGTTAGTGGGCAAGTTGGGAAATGGTGATATAAAAAAGAACTCTACGGTAGGTCACAGGCCCAGGTTCAGGCTTGGGTGACTGGTTAGTTACTTCATTTTGTCCCGCTTACCATCACAAAGAGAATTATGAGGAGTAACAGGTTTTTATGAAGAGCGGGAGGTGTGGTGTCTGGAGGCAGATGAATCTAAATTTAGATATAACCATTTTGAACACCCACACACACACCCCAGTGAGATTCCAGGAGACAGATAATAAGGGTGTGGAACTCAGGAGATCCATTTTTGCTAGAGGTATAGTTTTAGGAATCCTGGAATCGAGGTCATGATTTAAGTAATGAGACTAGAAGAGATTACTCGGCGTAAGCACAGAAATGACAAGAGAAGAAACAGGAAGACCAGGAAAGATGAGCTCAGAGGATACTAGAGCAGGGTCATAAAAGAACAAAAACCTAAACAGGTGGTCTGATGGAAGTTTCCATCATCTGATCAGTTCCTAGAGGGCAAGGACCTGCTCTCTTTTGTCTTTATACCCACTGCATATCACAGAACCTGGCCTCGAAGCCAATTATAAAATAAAATGGGAACGCTTCTGTGAAGAGTTTCTTTAGTTCACTCAGGGGCCGAAGGGTATGTACACAAAAGGAGCCAGACTATATATACCATTCTATGTCTTGCAATTTTACTTCCTATGTACCATCTTGCAAATTGTTATGCACTTTTGTTGGTGGAAAGATCAGCTGCCTACTTTTTAATACAATATAATGTTCTATCAGAAAGCCACACACACAGTAATTTTATTTAGCCAAATCTGTATTGACAGACATTTATTAACATGTTTATTCAATGAAGGAAGGCACAGGTAATAAATAACAATATCAAAATGCTGTAGACAGACCAATTTAAGGCTAAATCAGGAACTGCTGGATTTGGCAGCCAGGAGATAAAAAATTATGTAGCAATACAATAAGGAGAATCCAGATTATCATGAGTTAAATGAGCGGAACATGGAGATTTAGCTTGTTAAAAACCAGAAAAGAAATACAGCTTGTTCTCTTAAGAGACGAGGCTATGAGGTAATGGGCAGAAGTGACAGTGCATAACATGAGTCCTCATCCACCGCTTATGCATATATAAAAGGGCTTCAAAAAGTTCGTGGAAAAATGAAATTAAAAGGTAATGAGATTTTCCCACAAACTTTCTGAAGCCCCTTCATATTTCATTTAACTTTAACTCACAAGCCTTTAAAAAAATTTATTTTAATGGCATATTTCAGACATGAAAGTAGTTAAATAGTTCGGGTTATACTGAGGCCTAGTAGTCCTCATTTCTACCAGTATGAATTGAGTGTCTTTAAGTCTACAGAGGCAACTTTTAATTAAAAAAAAAAAAGGACATGGGAGGTGTTAAGTCAGAATCTACTTGAAGGTAGTGATACTGGTAATATCTGGTTGGGCAAGTTTCGCGTTATGTTTATTTCAATTTTGTTTTTTCTCTTAGATTTATTTCTTCTAAAGTTAACATCATTTTGTAAAGTTCTAAAATATCTGGGATTTTTATGGAATTGTATCAAATATATGGAGACATAAAGATAATTCATAGTCACATTATGGAATCTGCCCCTTCAGGAACAAAGGCACGTTTTTCCTTCCACTGGATACAAGTTCTGCACATTTTAATGTCTTCCTAGGTATGTAACGTTTACGGTCACTATCAAAAAATAATTTCCCAGTACATTTTCTGATTATAGACTCAATTTGAGAAAGCCATTGATTTTTATAAACTAGTCTTCAGTCAGTCATCTTAAAAAATTTTTCCCCTCGGGTCATGTCTTTGGATTTTTAGGTAAACAATCATATCACTTACAAATGACTGACATTTTTCTCTAAGAATTTTTATGCTTTCATGGGAATATACAATGATGTTAACTTTAAGAAAGGATGTAACCAATATATGTACTGTGTATCCACACACCCCTATGTAGAATATGACCTCAACTATTTAAACATATGGAGGCGGCTTCAAAATGTTCACGAACAAATTCAATTTTTCTATGAATTTTTAGAAGTCCCTTCTCGTATGTATGAAGGTATACCAGTGGCCAGTAAGTCAAATGATTATGACAACCCCATGTGCGTCAGAGTAGAACTGTGTTTCAGAGAGTTCTCAATGGCTCTCGTTTCAAAAGTCTGTCTTCTGAAGTGCCGCTGAGTAAACTTGAACCTGCAACCTTTCAGTCAGCAGCTGTGAGTTGACAAATGTTATTAGCAAAGCAGAGGCAGGCGGGAAAGGCTGGTAGAAAACAGCCAAGATCACAGGATCTCCATATAACCCCCTCCCTGGGGGGATGGACAACAGAAAAGTGGGTGAGGGGAGATGTCAGACAGTGTAAGACATGACAAAATAATAATAATTTATAAATTATCAAGGGTTCATGGGAGGGGGGCAGGAAGGGAGGGGAAAAATGAGGAGCTGATATCAAGGGATCAAGTAGAAAGAAAATGTTTTGAGAAGGATGATGGCAACAAATGTACAAATGTGCTTGACACAATGGATGTATGTATGGATTGTGATAAGAGCTGTGTGAGCCCCCAATAAAGTTGTTTTAAGGAAAAAAAAAGAAAACAGCCAAGATAGTAACAATGATTATATCAAGTACAAAAATGATATAATCTTCTTTTCTTTTTGCTTTTCTCTATTTCACTAGTTCTTTCAGTGGCCATTCTTTGTCTCAAAGACAAAGGAAAGTTTTATCTTATCTTTTAACTTTAGCTCTAACTACGGACTCGTGAACCTTTAACAGAAAAAGTGATTCTCTGGCACTAGGATGGATGTCATCCTACCATTATATCTACTCATATCTGCCTGTATTTGTGTTCCTTTTTCTTCTTTCCACCCTGGCTAGGGTCAGAAATTACTGCTTGATTATAATTTAGAGAAAAGATCATCCGATTCCTGACCTAAATTCAAGCTACAGTTGTGGGGAATAAAAATTTTAAAAGTCAGTACAGGAAATCATAGAATCTGGAAGACTAAAAAAGAAACCTGGCTTCCAACCCCACTAAGGTAATCACTAGTCATGCTTTTACACATTACCTCAACATACACTTTCTACATATACTGCGCATGAAGGAAAAAAGAAAATAGCTTGGTTTGTTTTCTCACCGAATTGCTGTTTTTAGTATCTTCTAGACGTTCCAGAACTGATGTCAGATTTGGGTCATCAGAGTCCACAAACCATATTGGTGAGGAAGATGGATAAGATTCCTGTGTCAAAGAAATCTATGTTAAACACTTTTACATACAGACCAATCTGGACAGGCAATTAAACTATACCACTAAATTACAGTTGACCATGAATTTAAACAAAATGTAACAGACAGGAGAAAACCAACACATTAAAATACAGGGGAGGGAGAAGCAAATGTCTTTATGGATTGTTTTAAACTACAAAGTTGCTAAACCTGATGGTTTAATTTTGCTTGTCCTCAGTTACATAATTTGTACACATAGAAACAGACAAAAGTACTGTCACCCACTAAGAAGGATGATTTAAAGCTGAAGAGAGTACCTAGCAAAAGTTAAGTTTTAAACAAAAGAAGAATAAATATGGTGTTCATATACAACAAGGAAGATGGGCTTCCTTCCTTTACAAAGACTATGACTGCCTGGATTCTCCAACTTTCACTTTTTAAATAGATTTAAAGTCACAGTTGCTGTTAGCTGCGCTCAATGCAGCCCCCAACTCAATTCGTGGAGGTTACCTCATGGAAGAAAATGCTGCCCAGCTCTGTGCTGTTCCCTTGGTGACTGAAAATCAGATCATTTCCATTGACTGATTTTTGGAAGCAGATCATTAAACCTTTCTTCCGAGTCTGTCTTCTCTGGAAGCCCCCCTGAAACCTGTCCAGCAACACGATTTTCCACTGATAAAGAGTGTTGGCTGCACATGAGATGCACTGGCCAAGAATCAAGCCCAGGTCCCCCAAAGGCAGGCAAGAATTCAACCATTACATTCCTACTGTCCTCATGATAAATCCTTCAAATAGCAAACTTACACACACACACACACACACACACACCCAAAACAGAACAAAACATCCAAAACCACAACCTTGCAGGAAAGTCTATAGATTAAAACTATTTTGACCTTTAATAGAATATCTAGATAAGGTCTAACTCTAAACTGTTAAAAAATAATGTCGAGGAGTACACATTTAGACACATTTTTAAACCCTGACATATATTAAAAGTGGTTTTTAAAAATCATCCGCTACCTATACTCCTTGTTTTCTGAGTAGTGTAATTACAGAATTTACTTTGAGATATTTCTATACTAGAAAACCTGGCCCTTAAATCTATCCCATTTAATTTTACCTTTTCCTAATAATCTTCCATCCACAGGCAAATGAAATTTCTTTTAAAAAAAAAAATCCCACAAAACAAGCAACCCATTTTTAAATGCTGTAAAGCATATGTAAAAATACAGCAGGTGTTGGGTAAAGTGAACAGCAGCAGAGGGCTACCACCAGCCTTCACCAGACACGGGGTGGGGGTGTTGAGACCACTATTCTGATGGTGTAGCCACTGTCTTTGAGCTCTATTACAGCTCAGATGGCAATGGTGGGCAGCCTCTAAAACGGCCCCCAGGAATATTACCTCCTGGTATTCCTAAGCTCTCCCTTCCCTAGACCTTCTAATGAACACAACCCAGCATAGTAATGGGATGGTACTTCTGAGATCAGATTACCAAAAAAAGGAAAATTTCCATCTTATACGCCCTCTCCCCACCCCACCCCCACACACACCACCACCACCCACCCCTTTCAATTGCTCTCTCTGATGGAAGAAGCCAGCAGCCACGTGTTGAGGGAGAGCTCCCTATGGAGCCGCCACATGGCAAGAACTGCAGACGGCCCAGGTCTGATGGCCCACTACCCTGTGCAGGACTATGCCCGAGTGTCTCAGGAGAGGATCCTGCCCCACCCCCACCCCCAGCCAGCCCTTCCCCCAAACCAGCCCTGAGATGACTGCTGCCCCAGCCAACACCTTGGGTGCTTGGAGCCAGTGAACTCCAGATAAGTCACACGTTTTCACGACCCTCAGAAACTGACAGCTAACTTGTAGTTTTTAGCGGCTTGGTTCTGGGGTGGGCTTTACAGAGAACTAGGTAACTAATCAAAATTCTTTAAAATTCTGATACTTGTGAACACACAACCTTGAGTATTCGCAGGAAATGTTATGGCATATACGATATATTGTCAAAGGAATAAACTGCATGTGACGATGGGAAGCTAGTACACTAAAGTAGTCTGTTTCCCTCTGCCACTAGACACCTACTCTGTTGATGTGCACTACTCTCTAGTCCACATTAGTTATTTGCTACAAAAACAATTAGGTCAGGGAAAAACAACAAAGAAATGACACTTGGAACTAGAATCTCAATTGTAATATACCTGAAACCACTGAAAATAATACAAGGATTCCTTAACTGTTTAAGGGGGAAAAATGTACTGAAATAGACATCATTATTGGTCTGATGCATATATTTGGTAATATTTACTTTAGTATTTACATTTCTCTCTTACTCGGTCTTGTATCTCTTTACAGAACAAAAAGTAAACTGTTTTAAGAATTGTCCTATCTTAAAGAAGGCCACTTTATTAAATATTATATTTGCTTCAAATTCTTCAGCCTCATTTGGGAACACACCAAGGTTATTTTTACTGTTAGCTTTACACCTTTTTCTACCCTTGAAATGAACCTAAATGTGGGGCTTCAATGCATAGGCTAGTATTTGCCTAATAAATTTCTGCACCAAATTAAGATGGTGCTCTGAACTGGAACTCCTCCCTCAACACCATATTAAAGAGAGTTGGGAGGAAAAAATTAACTAAAAACAATCACTAAAAAAAGGAAATAGAGGAAAGAACTAGAAGGCAAAGGGTATTTATAGAGGTCTAAATACAGGCATGTACATATGTAAATATATTTATATATGATGATGGGGAAATAGATCTATGT